TCTCTCTTTTCAAACATTTTCATTGTGTGATCAAAATGATCCCACATCATTTACAAAAGGTGTCTGTGACTCCTCTTTGTTTTTGTTTTTTGTTTTTTGTTTTTTGTTTTTTTTTTGTTTTGTTTTTTTTTTTTAAAATTTTAATTTTATTTTGTATATAGTCTTGTTTGGATTATTATTATTATTATTATTATTATTATTATTATTATTATTATTATTATTATTATTATTATTATTATTATTATTATTATTATTATTGTTGTTGTTGTTGTTGTTGTTGTTGTTGTTGTTATTGTTGTTGTTGTTATTGTAATTTGATTATTTGGAAAATTCACCAAAATTTTAAAAAATTCGCCTGTTTAACATTTTATATTTAATCAAAACATCAAAAATATTATTTAATAACTTAGCAATTTGCTTCAAACTGCTAAAAACTAAAACAACACATATACATTTTGGGTTACTCTTAGCCAAACCCCCTAATAAATTAAAAAAAAAAAAAAAAAAAAAAAAAAAAAAAAAAAAAAAAAAAAACTAAAATAAGAAGCCATTAAAATAAAATTTCTTAAATAAGAGCCTATGAACAGATACTACATGTAACACGGTGAATCGAATAGTTATGCCGTGGAACCGTGTCCACTTTGCAAGGTGGACACATTTCTATGTTCATAATTACTGAACTATATGGTCATAATTATAGAGCTAAATATTCATAATATTTGAACTTCATATTCATAATTATTGAACTCTATATTCACAACTACAAAACTCTATGTTCATAATTACTAAACTATATGTTCATAATTATAAAGCTATATATTTATAATTTTTAAACTTCATATTCACAATTATTGAATCTCTATGTTCATAATTACATAACTATATGTTCAGAATTATGTTCACAGCGGGAAAATGAATTAGTATGATTTTGTTTTTAATTATATATAGATAGATTGATTCTATTTCATTTTTTTTAAGCAAAATCTTCCTTAAAGATTAATAGTAAAATAAAACAAACTTATTAATAACCGACTCTATTACATTATTTTACGCATAATTTTTCTTAAAGATTAATAGTAAAATAAGGCTAAATTATTAATAACAAATTCTATTCTATTTTTTATGCAAAATCTTTCCTAAAAGATTAATAGTAAATATCTTAATGATTCTTTTTCTTATACTGCTTATTGATTCTTTTCCATTTTTCAGAGTGTAGAAAAAATTCACATGACTAACATTTCCTTCCCTTCATTTCCATTTTTCCATATTATTATTAATTTCCTTCCCAATATTATTCTATATTGTTTTGGCGTACAACTTCATTCCATTCATTCTCATTTTTTCATATTATTATTAATTGTTTAGGCGGGAACTTGTAAATGAGGATATTGTTTTTATTAATTAATATAGAATATAGATTACCAATTAAAATTAAAGTTTTTATTATAATTGAACACTAATATTACCAATTATTATTTGAAGAATTTGTAAAATATTAAGTAAAATTGTATTACGGATAGAAAAATATATGTACTTTAATTTTAATTTAAATTATTAATAATTAATTCTATTTTATTTTTTAATAAAATCTTCCTTAAAGATTAATAGTAAAATAAAGCTAAATTATTAATAACCGATTCTATTACATTTTTTTACGCATAATTTTTTTTAAAGATTAATATAGTAAAATTTAAATTATTAAGAATTAATTCTATTTTATTTTTTAACAAAATCTTCCTTAACGATTAATAGTAAAATAAAGCTAAATTATTAATAACCGATTCTATTACATTTTTTTACGCATAATTTTTCTTAAAGATTAATATAGTAAAATAAAGCTAAATTATTAATAACCGATTCTATTACATTTTTTTTTCGCAGAATTTTTCTTAAAGATTAATAGTAAAATAAGGCTAAATTATTAATAATCAATTCTATTCTAATTTTTACACAAAATCTTCCATAAAAGTATATAGTAAAATATCTTAATGATTATTTTCCTTATACTGCTTATTGATTCTTTTTCATTTTTCAGAGTGTAGAAAACATTCACATGACTAATATTTCCTTTCATTGTTTTTCATATTTCCATATTATTATTAATTTTCTTCCCAATATTATTATTAATTATTTGGGTGTACGATTTCCTTCCATTCTTTTACATTTTTCCATATTATTATTAATTGTTTAGGCGGGAACTTGTAAAGGAGGATTTGTTTTTATTAATTAATATAGAATATAAATATAGATTAATATAGAATATAAATATTGATTACCAATTAAAATTAGTTTTTTTTAATATTATATTTGAACAATAATATTACCAATTATTATAATTATACTTATAATAATAATAATAATAATAATTATTATTATTATTATTATCTTTATTATTATTATTTTTATTATTATTATTATTATTATTATTATTATTATTATTATTATTATTATTATTATTATTATTATTATTACTACAGAGTAATTATGGCGATCCCATAATTACGCCAAAAAATAAATACACTACAATGAGAAATTGAGCATGGACTTCATAACTTTCAAAATCGGCACCATGAGAATAAAACAACTTAACAAATCAGAACTCTAGAAGTCCGATTACTTCAGTAATCAACGCAAAGAACTAAGAAGAATATAATAATAGTCAATTGGTGTATTAAAGGCAATTCCTGCTATATCTTGTGGTGTATATTACAACACAAACATTTAACTACTCCTCATTCTCCAATCACCCGTGACTCACACATTTTATTGTGTGACACTTTAAATTCTTGACCAATGACAGTATAGCAAAAAAATGAAGAGAGAGATTAGAGGAGTCAACACTCAGCATCCCTTTAAACGGGCAGGAGTAGGCACCACTCAAAGCGAGATTCACATGAGTCTGCCTTTCATCAATGATAATGAAACTTCAATAGAAGCAAAAAAATCAATATATGAAATGGACTTGGAGTAACCATAGAAATATTTAGAATAAATCATAATCTAGGTATATGATATGAATAGCTTTTCGCTGAAAAAAGTATTAAATTTGGACAACACAACCATGAAAAACGTATTGTATCTAATCCAATCAAACTACTTGGATGCTAAACCTACCATTAATTTTGAAACGCGGCTAAACTGAATGATCAAGGCTGAAGACCTAGTGGGAAAAAAGGGATGCAATATAAAATGAAGACTTATAATTTTGTAGTCATCAACTCATTGTATTTATAGGTGAAAAATATGAGAATTATAAATTTGTAAAATTTTTCAAAAAGAAAGTGTATTTATTTATTTAAGGTATTGCCCTAATCAATTCATTATATTGATATTCCTAATCAATTTATTATATTAATATTCCTAATTAATCTTATTCCTAATTAATTCATAATATTGATATTACTAAATTTCCATTTTTCATTTGCTTACCAAATAAGCTTTATTAAGCATTTGATCAATAAAATATAAAATACTTAATTAATTTAATTACAAAAGTTTAGGCGGGAAAATGAAATAGGAGGATTTTACTTTTATATATATATATATATATATATATATATATATATATATATATATATATATATATATATATATATATATATATAGGATTATTTTCAAATACAAATACTCCTTAAAATACAAACCCCCCTTAAAATACAAACTGTGTGCATGTAAGTGTGATAATGTGTGCACGAGCTAATTCCAGATATTGTTGGCAATGTGCATGTAAGTATGTTAATGTGTGCATGGGCTTTGATGGATGGTTGTGATTTTTCCTCCTACGCGCTGTGTGCATGCAAGTATGTTAATGTGTGCACGAGCTTTGGTGGATGATTGTGATTTTTCCTCCTACGCGCTGTGTGCATGTAAGTATGTTAATGTGTGCATGAGCTAATCCCAGAAATTGTTGGAAGTGCGCCCTGTGTGCATGTAAGTATGTTAATGTGTGCACGAGCTCAAGTTTTTATTTTAAGGGGAGTTTGTATTTTAAGGGAGTTTGTATTTGAATGCAACCATATATATATATATATATATATATATATATATATATATATATAGATTTTATTTGTATACATACATTTGAAAAGCAACGAAAGATGTTAGGCACTTTTGGCCTGTTAGGCTGTTAGAAAATAAATGAAAAGAAAATTAACAACTTAATGTGTGTAGTCTTCTTCGGCCATTCTGAACAGCTCTCTCTCAATAAGTCATTCACAACATAATCCAGAGGATCATCACCGTCCAATTTTTGGTCATTGGAATTTAGGCTAAGTTAATCTTGATTAGGTTGCAAACCCATCACCGTCCTAATTTTGGATTTGATATTTTGATTCTTAAATTATATTTTTATATTATTTGTTAGTTGAGAAAGTTTAACCTATTAAGCTATTCTTGATATTAAACTATTCTTGAGTTCTTAGGAATAACCTATATGTTTTATTTCCATTAAACTTAAAATTTGTTTAGATTTTTTTTCTTTCTATCGCAACACTTGCATCTCTTTCAAGTTCAAGCTCCCCAACCTTCAAAAGGTATGTTACTAGTAAGTATATATATATATATATATATATATATATATATATATATATATATATATATATATATATTATAGGGTGATTCTCTGGTGCACACCACCCTTTAAATGTGAACTTGTGCACCACCATGCTTCACTGATCTGTGATGATCCGAAGGCTCTAAATTACGCTGCACTCTTTTGTTGTACCTGCGTTACACATTAGCGTATTGCAATTTCATAAATTACTATTTTTTAATTTTGAATTACCGGTTCCCTGCGCCTTCCCGTGCATGTTTCACGGGGGAAGTTTGTGATTGGCGGTAGGATACGGAAACGCAGGCGAAGGGTTCCGTCTACCGTATCGGCGAGCGCAAAGTTGTTCTTACGTCCGGGCGTTTACACCTCCATTTTTCAGTCCCCACCCCCAGTGCACGTCCCTTCGTGCGGTTTGCAACTGCCGGCCGTAACAGCAGGCACATTAGCGATGAGCGTCACGGTGACTCCGGAGTTGCCAGGTAAGCATTTCTGTGGCGCATACCAGTAGCCATGTGTTCTAGTCTTACATCAGGTGTTCCGGCGGCCGGGATATACACGCATACTTAGCATACTGTATATATGTTAATTCCCACACATGCATCGGGGTGCTATTCCCTGTTAGTTTTCCATTTTTCTTTTCTCCACAGGTTCGTATATACGTATATATGTTTTACAGTTTTAGGTTTGATTACTAGATAAGACACCCGTGGGTGTTGGGTATAGGGAAAAAGACGGGCTGCTGATATATAGTTTTTTGTTTTACCGGGGAGCAGCATGGGTAGAGTTTTTAAATCTGTGTATGTATTAGTATCGTGTTGCACATATATGAATAATAAACGCACATATCATCCTTCACGAAACGAATATTACAGAGCACTACCAGGCCACCCACATAGTGTGGGCTCTACTGATACAAAAAACAAAAATTTTGCAGCATAGTTTTGGTTGAAACTAGAGACACATATGAACTGCTGCAATTCGTTGTAATATATATGCTTTGCTTATAAACTTGGTTGCATGGTCCTGTTATCTGTTATCTCACATTTATTAATTAGGTTTTATAGTTTTAGGTTCTATGACTACTATTTCCAGTCAGGGTATGTCATGTGTAAAATGAAAAGTTTTAGGTCGCATTTTTGCTTTGTAGTTTATACGATTCGCTAATATTTTGTAAAATTAGAATTTATAAGCAACGATGTCAATTTGTTCTTGGCCTATTTTATTACTTCTGGGTGCTAAGTAATTTACATTCTTAAATCTTGGGTTACATTTCGTTGTAATAATTCTGGAATTAGTTTTGGTAATTTAGTTACTAATTGGATCAAGGCTTAATTGCAGTACTCTTTCTATGATTTTACATGGCAAAGGTACAATAGCTGCTCTAGGTAAGATTTGGCATGAGACAAATAACATCTCTGACCTTTGTCGCTATGCCGTTTGATTTTTTAGATCGCTACTCTCCTCTTCAATATATCATTTCCCAGAGTACTTAGATGGTATAACTAATGTTTAGTGGTTGTTTGTTATATGTTGTAATACAATGCACTTACACCCATTATAAGTTGGTTGTTGGCGGCGGACCCATTATAATGGTAATATTTCTTTATTGTTATGTTTCCCTGCCCCGTAATATTGTTGTGTTTCCGTCCACAGAGGGCCATGCAAACGAGGTGGTTAGTGAGCACGTCCCACATGGTGCGCGTGAATTAGTAGCAGAGCGGACCTCAATTTGGTGTCCGGACGTTGGCAGTGAAATCACCCCTGTGGTTGGGCGGCGTTTTAGCACATTGGATTCAGGCATCGACTTATACACAAACTATGCACGGGTATGTGGGTTTGATGTGCGGTTACACACCGTGAAACGGGACCGTGATGGGAAGTCCATAATGCGTTACTTGGTATGTAGCCGGGAAGGCATTAAGGGTGGTGGTATTAGCAAGCTGACCGGTGCAGACGGTGATAATGGTGGTAAGAAGAAGCAACGAAGACGACGGACATCTAACAGGGTTAAGTGCAGAGCTAGGATCTGTTTAAGGAAGGTGGGCAGTGGAGAGTTTGAGATAACTGTGTTTGTTGAGGGGCATAGCCATCGTATGTGTTCCGACGCATCGAAATTATTTATGAGAGTTAACCGGAAGTTGGACGTGGCACAACAAGCGTTTGCTGCAAACTGTGTAAGGGCGAATGTTGGTTCGTCCAAAGGTTTCAAACTATACAGGGAGGTCACCGGGTCGTACGCAAATGTAGGCGCGACAGATACCGAGTTTCATAATTTCAAACGAGACCTCCAGGTTTACGTTGATGGCAAAGATGGTGAAATGATTATAGAGAAGTTTAAAACGAAGCGTGCTGTTTGCGAGAACTTTTTTTTTTTTTTATTACTACTTGGATGAAGAAAACTGGGTTGCACGACTTTTCTGGGCTGACCCCATCGGTCGTCGCAATTTTTCCATATTCGGCGACGTGGTCTCGTTCGATGCTACTTACGGTACAAACAGGTACAACTCCCTTCACTATTAAATTAACTTGAAACTCTGAAGTTAACAAATTAACTATGCACCCAATTTTGAAATGATTGCTCATTTATATTCTGACTTGTTGTATAGTAGTAGGTACTACGGTGTCATTATGAGAGCTAAATGTGCATTTAATTTAGTTGTGATTGCTCATATTCATATTTATACTGGTTTTACTAAGTACTATGGTGACACACCACTCGGTATAATCGAAATGCCACATATAATAAGGTTGTATATGGTACGGCAAATTAGTATGACTCCGTTCGACACTTTAAATATTAATTAATTATTTATTAAACTGTGGAATCCAGTGCACGCTTAGAACACTGTGGTTCGTGCCGACAACTTATGTGTGCTGGGTTTTATGTTTTTGTTGCAATTAAACTGATAGTTTTTTTTAGTTATATGTGGTATTGGCATAGCTTAACACGTGCACACCACCTTTTTCTTAATTACACCAAAGCAATTTGTGGATTCATATAAAGCCATTGTTTTTTGTTTTGTTTTTTTTTTTTTTTTTGTGATTTTGCAAAGTGCCGTTTTTAATTTCCCAACCTAAGATTGAAAGGTTGGAATCAAAATTAGAGTTGGTTTTGGCACATGTACATAAAAATAAACGGAGAATATTAAATTGAATATATGTGTACTTGTGTACATATGTTTGCATTCCCACCCCCCCCCCCCCCCCCGATGTTTTACATAGCGGGTTGGTTGATCAGTATTTTGTATTTTGATCCAGGTACAGTTTGGTGTTTGTGCCGTTCACCGGGGTGGACCACCACAAGCGATGCATTACTTTTGCTGCCGGGTTGCTCACTAAAGAGGATGTCGAATCATATTCATGGTTACTACAGAGGTTTAAAACTGCAATGGGTACTGTCCCAACGTGTGTGATTACTGATCAAGACCCGGCTATGAAGATTGCTTTTGCTGAGGTTCTGTCAGATTGCCGCCATCGTTTCTGTATGTGGCACATTATGACAAAGGTGAACGAGAAAATTGGGTCCGACATGGTAAAAGACGTAGCGTTCCGCAACAAACTGAACGGTATTGTTTGGAATGAAACCATCAGTGTAAGCGAGTTCGAAGAGCAGTGGCATTCGTTAATGGAAAAGTACAATCTAGCAACCCACCGTTGGTTTACCAAGCTGTATACTGAAAGGGAGTTCTGGGTACCTGCATATTTTATAAATCTGCCCATGAGTGGGTTGTTGCGCACAACATCCCAATCTGAAGCAGAGAACAGTGTTTACGGGAAGTGTACCCGACCCCACTTCAGCTTGGTGGAGTTCTATGTGCAATTCGAGGGTGTACTGGAGACTCAGCGTTACAAGCAATCTAAGTTGAACGCCGAGAGCGAGGGTTACTTGCCCGATTTCAAGACCCCCTTAGCACTAGAACGGTATTTGGCCCAGATGTTCACGATAACTATTTTTTATGAGCTACAACAAGAAATTGAAGCTGGGTGTTTCTATTGTCGAGTGGTGGGTATCCGTGAGGAGGGGGATGTCATTACTTACAACATAAGAGGAGAGTGCACCGCTACCTACACCGTGCAATATACCCCGGTAGGGAATCATGCATCCTGTAGCTGCAAGCTATTCGAGCGGTTGGGGTTAGTTTGTCGGCACATGTTCTTGGTGTTCAAGGATGCACAGGTTAAAAGCTTGCCGTTGGACTACGTCCTTCCACGTTGGTGTAAGCAGGTGGGCGGTGGTGTATGCTGTGGGCAGTGTTGTGATGTTCCTTCTCCGGATTCTGGACCTAACCGGCTGTGGAATGCAATGCACCAATGCGCTGCCTTGGTAGGCACCAACACGGATCGGCAGACGCGGATGCTGCAAGTATTAGAAGATTTGAAAGAGGAATTTATGAGTGATGGTTCGAACGTTACCCCTGCAAAAGGTAACAATGCTGTCATCGTGGCTTTATGTGGGGTTGCACCTCCGACATCCATCACCATCAAGTCCCTGGCTCAAGCTAAAAACAAAGGGATCGGTCGACGTATTAAAAGCCAGCGGGAGTTAGCTGTTTTGAGCAATGGTAAAATATGGTGTAAATGCGGTGTGTGCGGCAAGTACGCCCGTCATAACGCTCGTAGCTGTCCGTATAAGTGAGCGGGTGCTGCGGTACCATCAGAATAACACCCCTGCTAGACATTGCGACCTGGGTATCGTTTTCTTTATTTTGGTTATTGTAACTCCTTTGGAAGCACGTTTTTTTTTTTACAATATTTGAAACGCATGACGTTTGTAATTCATGAAGTGCAATGTGGTGCACACAAAAACTAGCAATTGGTACACTGTCTTCTTCTGTAAGTGTAGAACATACTTTGCGTTGTGGCCGTCCACTAGACAAACCCATTGCTCAAGCTGAGAATTTTTAGCGGTAATGTGTTATTTAATATTAATTGGCCAATCTCCATTTAAACTACATGTATATTCTCACACACCAAATTGGAAGCAGAGAACACATAGCATTTGGGACGTGTGCAATTGGGCTTACTTTTGGCTTCCGGTTGTACTGATAACTACGACGAGTGCAATGAGGTAGTAGTAATATGCATTGTTAAGAGTAATGAAGAAGAGGAAGATCATATAGTGCAAACACGATGTAGGCATTGTAATATCATTTGGATTGAGAACCAAAACAGGCCAAACCACAGGCCGGCTAGAGTATTATAAATCAATTATTCCACCAATACCAAAACGAAAATCCCCACCGGAATAGGGTGGTCAAAAAAGCTACTTAATGACCCTCCACAAAATCAAATGTGTTGCACAACCGCCGTGCTAATGTTATAGGCTTTATATACACCAAAAAAAAAACATTATCAAGTTTTAAATGGTCCCATTCTGCATTCCCTTCCATGTTACCGACGTGTACGTCCCTATCCATAAAGCACCCGTTCCGACCTGATGGAGTCGTACTCCCCCACTCGTGTGACAATGGTACGCATATGGATATTTGTCTCGCTGAGCAGAATGTTATGCAAGTAACGCTTGCGCAAGTTCAGAAACAATGTAGCGTCATTTGTTTGTAATCCAGTGTACCATTTTGGACAACGCTCCCCCACGAACGACTCCATATGGCGCATCGTATATATTGCCGATTCTGCGCCGCACGTGGTTTCACCGCATGTCAACAGCATCCTCGTGGGTGTCATGGACCTTAGTTGTAGTGCACGGACTGGCTGATGTTTCGTTTCGAGATATGCAGCGAATAGGTCAATCTGCACACAACACCGATTACAATATGGCATGCAATGGTACTACCCGGTAGGGCGAATGACTATGAGTGCATGGGGGTTACCATTTCCGCCGGTGCTCGCCCATACGTTTCAATCCTTGTGTCTGCCGCTGGTGCACTATCAATGACGTCGAAGGCGGGATGCTTGAAATTGATGCTCATAACATAGTAACGAGTGTTGTGCATTATTGCAACAGTATACTGCCACGACGTATAATAATGTCATTGAAATTGTGTATATTACATTACATTGGATGCACGGATCATAAACTTACCAAGTCTACCGTGGCTAATCCCACGCGGCCTGCAGCGTCGACCTCCGCATCAAGACGGCGTGCGAACCACGAAAGCCTTTCATTTCTACTGGTAGCAACATTCACCACAGCCCCAATCTGCATACAACATTACAATGTAATAAAATGAGAGTACGAAACTGCACAAGGGTAATTTCATGCTACTCAGTAGGATATACTGCACAGCTGGTTTGGCCGTAATAATTTTATCACATTGACAATTGCACTACAAATATTTTAAAAAATAGTAAGAGAAATGGTAGTTGCAACTAAACATGGTGTAAGATAACCAGTACCAGCCATGATAGAAAGTTTGAGAAATTAGAATACTACCCAACGGAACTGCCCAGGGCGTACGAGTTAGAATAATTATGAATATTTCTAGGCACATACCGTAACAGCTGTTGTTAAGAACAAGCGTGAAGGCACAGTTCGCCCCCTGGGTCTCTCTCTCGCATTCAGCACAAGACACCAAGCATCTACTACCACTTTGGATACGTTAGTCCCCTCCTTTAGCGTGTCCAGGTTGGCCCATTTCACTCTCCGGTTAGCGTGCTCGAACAGAACTTCATTGCTAGCAAATTAAACATACACTTGTTGTTACACATAGTTTATGATGTTGCGTCCATTCTCCTACATGTGGTGTACTCTACTTACCGGTCACTGTGCGGTGACCTAAAAAGCCACATCCAGACAACATATATCGGTGGTAGTGGAATTGCGGGGTATCCCGACGCTGTGCTGAAAAAAAAGCCAACTAGCTCAGACTCCCGCTCAATGGGCCTCTTGCCTTTGCGGTCTGCCCTTAACTGAGGTGGTGACTCCGATATGGTGGTCCTGTGGGGCGCACGTAGCAGAACCTGCATTTTTTGATTAGATGAACCCTACGTGCAAACACAATTGCACCAGAACTGGAATGCATGCACATAACAAATACAATTGCACAAATGGTACTGCTTTTTCAACCCAGAAAAGAAAAAATCTTCACAAACCAGCATTGCTGGATAATGCTATTCAGCTTATTTACCCCATAACAGTACTTGGGAAAACCATAAAACAGTTGCATTCATCATTATGATCTTGTAAAATTGGTTTTCGGTTTGTATGCATGGAGGTGTGTGACAGTGTCGTTGCTACTAGGACTCACATTTTAGGAAACCCTGAAGATAGAGAGCTTACACAGTCCAAATGGTACTGCTTTCCTGGATTACTGGCTAATAGTATTTATCTTTTTTACTCCATCATAATATTTACCTACCCACTCGAACAACGTTGGAGAACATTAACTACCTTATTTATTACTTACGTCTCTTCCATTTTTTTAAACATCGTACTCTATAATGGTTTGTAATATAAATTCCCCTTCATTTCCGTGCTACTAGTAAAGCAAAGTAACGCACAGGAAAAAACAAAACAGAATAAAAGCCCCAACAAAGTTAAGGCGAAACAGTGGTGCAATCCTGTTCGGCCTAGTCGTATGATTTACATCTTTTTTATTAATCCTGGATGCAGTAAATGCTGGATTATTAATCCTCAATAATGTACCATGTATGGGATGCATGGACATAACAACTGAAATGGCACCAGACCTAGGATGCATGCACATAACAATGAAAAATGCACCAGTATCGGAATGCTTGCACATAACAAGTAACATTGCACAAATGGTACAGTTTTCCTGGATTTCTGACTAATACAATTCAGCTTATTTACTCTATAATAGTAACACCGTTGGAGAATATTAACTACCCGTGTAATAGTAGTTGGCTACTAGTGCACTCTTAGGACTGGAATGCACACTTCTAGATCAAAAATGCATAGCCAACAAAAAACATAAACCAACAACGGAAACCACACTACTAAAGCACAACCCTCATAGTACGACCAAACATAATGAACAAGATAATGCACACGGTAATTAATGCTTCACCAGTACACATAAGAGTACATAGCAAGATAATCGTATAAGTGTATACCACTGGGGGGGGGGGGGGGGTATTATCCACGTTTATACCTGCGCAGTGGGCGTCACTACATTTGACAGTCCAGCCGTGGTACCTCCCACCCGCTGCGATGCTACTTTTGCCGTGGCCCTTGGGCCAGGACTTGGAGTGGTCGACGGTATCTGCACCAAGCAGTATGTGCAAGCATCAGTAACAGATCTGGACACCCATGTAATCTGTAACATGACCCACCTAAGAGGGTGCACTGTACTACGTTTATATCTGCACAGTTGGCACCACTACGCTGGCCGGCCCAGGTCTGGCACCTCCCGCCCTTCGCGATGCTAATCGTTGCGGTATCCCAAGGCTAACCCTGGGTGCCTCCCACACTGACGTACCCGGGTTGGTGCCCCCCACGCGCGGTGCCTGCAGCAAATATCACGTGTTTACAACAATAATACAGCGTGCACACAGAATTGGATTTAATGCACTAATACCCACTCATAAAACGACTCATTAAATACGCTATTTGTGTAAACCTGTCTATTTGTTGTGATGTTTTGGCGAACGGGTGTTAAGCAATCAGAATACAAACAACCATTGTTGAGGTACCATGACAAACCTGGTGAGTTGGCGTTATTACACCAACCGTGGCAGCTGTGTTATCCAACACCGTTTGCGGTGCTAGTTCTTGCGTCATTCCCAGGCTAAAGCTCGGTGCCCCCCACTCCGTCCTTATCGAGCGTGCTTCCCACACTAACGTACTCGGCCTGGTGTCCCCCTCGCGCGGTGCCTGCAACAAATATCACGTGTAACCATTAATACTACAGCCTGCACACAGAATTGGATTTAATGCACTAATACCCACACATAAAACGACTCATTAAATAATCTATTTGTGTAGACCAGTGTATTTGTTGTGGTGTTTTGGCTAAAGGGTGTTGCGCAAACAGAATACAACCCACCATTCTTGAGGTACCATGACAAACCTGGTGAGTTGGCGTAATTACACTAGCCGTGGCAGCTGTGGTATCCACCACCGTTCACGGTGCTAGTTCTTGCGTCATTCCCAAGCTAAAGCTCGGTGCCTCCCACTCCGTCATTGTCGGGCTGGAGCCTCCCTCGTGTGGTATCTGCACCAAATATTAGGTCCACACATTAGCAACACCCCCCCCCCCCCCCCTTTAAAAACAGTGTAGCAATCCCGAACCTGCGGAGTTGGCAATGCTCTACCCTGCGTGGCTTCCTCTTCTACCCGATCCAACTGCCTCAGAAACTGCGTGCTCTGCCACACCGCATCCTCAATGGGTTGTGGAGGTAGAAGTGGTGCACGCGTCACACCCAGCGTATGGTGATGTGCGTCCTTTGAGTGCTCCGTGATTAGGGGTGCGAGTATATCCGCTGCATCGATGATCTGTTGGAAGTCGCGATGTTGGTGAGCCCCGCTCGGATTCCTGCGTACCTCCTCTGCAACCCTCACAGCTAAAGAATGAAGGTCTTTTGCCATGTTGGCGAACCCCTGGTCAAACCCCTGCAGGTGTGCACAAGTTAAAACATCCCCCGCACATGCCACCCCCATTAGTCCCCGTGGTAGTTGATTATGCATACCATTGTCACACCCGGAGTACGTGA